GGTTTTAATGGCCTAACAAAATTAATATTGGCGATAAATATAGTTTGGATGAACTTAGCTTGCAAACCAAAGTGAATAAAGCTTTGATACCTAATATGAAGTGTTTTATATTATGGTTTTTCTAATTAACAAGTTAAATGATATCGTTAAAAGTGTTTTAACATAGTTTTAGACTTTTAATGTTTTCAAACATTTAGTTATGGATTAAGAAAACAACTGAATTTGTCACATTTCAAGATGTATAAATTAAAGAATTTGAAGTATTGAGGCAGAAGCTGATAAAAATTCATGAAGACAAGAAATTTAAAAATGGTATTGGGGGAACTGCTTAAGCTTGAGAAACAAATGGAAAACAAAGCCATTCTTCTCTTGAAATGGTACACACCTTAAAACCTCGAAGAAAAGACCACATGAAGCCTTGAAGGTTGTAGATAGAGACACACCAATGCCATGGAAAAAAGTTAAATGGAACTGAAAATTTTGTGTCCAGAACCATTATTTAGGAAATACGGACTAGAAATAGGAATTTATTTAGTATTTACCATGTTTGATTTATTGATAGAAATGAAAAATATATTTTACTATTCACAAATGAAATGCATTTCAAATGGATAGATACTAATCAGAGGTCAATAGACTTCTTATATATATATATATATGGACATTGATTGGTATACTTTTAATTTAATATAGTGTATAACATATTCATTTAAAAATTATTAATTTTCAATTTAAAATTAAAGGAGACAAAATTAAAAATGCAATCATGCATATAGAATCTAAAAATTAACTAAATCGACAACATTGTATTTTAATGGTTGAACTAGACTAATATTAAAAGGTGTGTAAATTAGAGGGTATAGTAATCGTTTTCCTATTTATTATTACTCAATGGTTTGTATCAAATGTTTCAATTTTAGCAATATCAATATATACTATCAATATATATATATATATATTTTGATGCTAACTAGAAGACCTGGAATCCCATTAAAAATAAACTAGAGATGCCATTTGAGTCTCCATCATCAACTTGAAGTTGTATTTAATGCATAAATGGCAACACAAGTTTTATTTTATGGGAACTTGGCAAAAGAGATTATATTTTGTTTAGGAAAATCATCAAAATCTCAGGCAGAGGTAGTTTTGCTAGCGGTACTTAATTACACACCAAATATGGCATTATGTATAGATAGAAAGTTGCTAAGAATGGGAAGGGTCTAGTGGACCAACGGTCCTTCATTGGAAACGTTGAATAATTCATAATTTCACTTCAAAAGTTGTCAAAAGTGCCCAGATCCTCCCAAAACTTGACACTTGTCCTTAAACAACCTTAATTTAACCATTGAATTGCTAGGCTACTCTAGCCCCACTAAGTCAAAATTATCAAAATGCCACTATATATATATATATGATTTTTCCTTCTTTTTTGGGGGATTCCATTTTACAAGTATGACACACCGGGGAAACACATTTCTACTCTAAAGAAAAATCTTCATTTTCAACCTCTTAACCCTTCTATTATAATTCCCCAAAAATCTCCGTTTCTCACATTTTCTTACATTTTCCAACCATACAAACTATTTCCCAAACTTACAGTTGAGTATGGCTGGAAGATTTCATGCTGTTGTTTGAGTTTTTAAGTTATCTTGCTCGAGTATCAGAGGATCAATTAGCAGCAAAGTTAGCATCATAGAATGGGATCAAGTCCTTCATCATAAGCCCCCACAATAGTTTTCCTTCCTTCTCCCATCACTACTTTCTAGTTTATTCTTTTTTTTTTATTTATGCAAGTTTGAGGAAGATTATTGTATTTCAAGCTCCAATATGAGAGTTGCTTATTTTAGAATTAGAGTGTTTATCAAGGATAGCAGAGGAGACATTTATTATGTTTTGTATTATTTTGCAATGTAATTTATATAAGTGTGCTTTTCAGCTTGTAAAAGTCAATCTTTTTATTTTCTATCCATGTTGCTCTTATTACCATGTACATCTCCTATTCATTTCTTTCATAGTTGTATAATTGTTCTTTGATCCTAAAACTTCATCATCACTGCCCAACCCTTCTGGCTTGGCTAGGGAAGCTATATTTTCAAACTTTGCTCGAGAACTCTACACAATTCATCTTCGCTAGGTGAAGGGAGGTGGCTCATGACATATAACCTCTCGCACGTGAAACGGGTGCAAAGCAAAAAAACTCTTCTCATCTCTAGCAGGGGGAATCCTAGTCAACTTACATGTCACCTTCGTTGTTGACCCATCATCCCTTACCCTCCAACAACCATTTAAATTCATTTTTATCCTCTTATTTTTTTAAGTTAAATCAATTTAAATTCATGTTGTTAGAGTTTAAAATTTTTAGGTTTCAGTATTTACGATGTTAAGGTTTAGATTTTTTAAAGTTTAGTATCTAAAATATTTTAGGGTTTAGCATTTAAGGTGTTAGAATTTAAATTTTTTGGGTTCAATATTTTAGAATTTTAGAGTTTATATTTCTTAAAATTTAGTGTTTAATGT